TTGAGCCACGTGGCATCGGAGCTCGGAACAAGGCCGAACAAAGCGGAAATAACGAATTCGAAGCACGTTTCTTGACTTAATTCCTGCTGCGCAGGAAACTCATTATGTGTCTCTGATTCGATGGTTCGGACGAAATCAAATTAATTTAAAAAGCAAAAATGTAAACTAAAATTTGAAGTAATCCCGTTTAATTCCCTTGGGAGCCTCGAAAGATGCTCATTTCTCCATCAACTCGAGTCCCGTAGGAAGGAGAGACCTCCTTTTCTATTTCCGGGAACGTCTAATGCCCAACCTACTTGTCTCGGGGATGGAAATTGCATTTAATTGGCCATCAAGAATCTCCTAACAAATGTAAAAACTCAAACTGCACTTTGATGTGTCAGTGCTTTTTCTTCATTACAAGAACATTCATTCCATCCAATGAACTTTCAATATAAAAGTGTTATATTCAAAAGTATAATATTCCGAAATTTAGCTTGTAATGGATTACTTCATTTAATCACCATAAGTACGTTGCATGATTTTTCCAATATTCTGCATTGAAACTTTCCTTTTTCCCACGTACTTATAAATCATTTTTACGTCGACTTCGTAGGTCATCATAATCTTCACTCGTTAAGATTTCTTTTTTTATATCTCTCACTCGCGACTTTTCATTCAATGTTGGAAACTGAAACAGTTCAAATATCGTTATACCATATACACACATCTTTTAACGTACGTATCGAATCAATTAACTCATAATTCCAGCGTACGGATAGTGCTCTCTCCTCGAGCTTAGCAGAATCTGTGTAGTCAACATGTTAGTCGCTGAAACGTCATTTACATTTAAATAAAAAAAAGTATATGTTTATTTAAATGTAGTGAGGATAACATTAGAATTAGGGAATTTAAATAACTGAGAGACAATTTTAATGAGCGATAAAATTTGGTGATGATTACGTATGTAAATTTGAGCAAAACTATGAACTGCTTAAGCGTCTTGTTTGCGGCGGGAAAATCACTCGAATTCGAGTTTCATTTGTAACCATGAATTGTTGAAACCATAAAGATTAAATGTAAAGCTGAAAGGCTGTGGGTATGACTTTATTCACATAGGTTTACAGTTTTACAGCCTCTATGAAGTGCATTATGAAATTTCCTGCACTGGAAAAAAAGCACATTGGATCTAGAGTCTGGACTCCAGATCCAAAGTGTTTTTTTTTTTTTCCAGTGTAGGATTTTGGAATAAAACCCGAAGTACCTCTTACTGGTTTATTACCTTTTTAATGCAGGATATATAAACGGAAGTAGGAAAAAGTTAGGAGATAATAGGATAATTTTACGAGACGAGACGAGTAAAAGAACACAGATTGAACAAAATAAAAATTTGGTTTCTATAGCGACGTCAATGGGGGGCCCTCCGCTTTACATTAGTTTTCAAGTAAGGAACGATTTAATTCTTATTTCTCGAACGATCAGCGGCTGCATGGAAGGGAACTTCAACCAATCATTTTTTCCGAACATCAGCATGCGATTTCCTTAAAGTTTATTTATTTAAGCAGCAGATTGGACAGTAGGAGAGAGCAGCAGAAGGGAGGGGGACTAGAGTGAATGCCTTTTTTTCTCGGCAGAGAAACTTCACTTCGCGTCAAGAAGTTGTTTCATAATTCGGACCTGGGGGTTCGGGGAGGTTCTTCAAATCGCAGAAGTTTGTTTGCTCCATGACGTTAGGAATGTGATTAAACTCCGTGTGATGACATTCCCCTGACAGTTCTGCTGATGGCTCAGCCGTCGCAAAATCTTGCTTAAACGATTCCATTTTCACTTGATAATTTACCCGGAATTAGTTCCATCCGGCAACCTGGTGGTTGCTGGTCCCCGCCGTTCTGGTAACAAGACTTAGCGTCGGCTTTTGCCAATTTCGTTTGATAAGTGTTGCCACATTCTCCTTGTCATGTCCCTGTGTAATTATTGTACCACTGCAACGTCTTGCTCATAGATTGTCTTTGGAGCACCATTTCTGAAGTCGAAGTGTTTCAGCTTCGTTCGAAAGGTTTGCGGCTCGAAATCAGAGAATATAACTCGCCTAAGGAATTTTACATTTTTGAAAACGGGAAACACTAACTTTGTTGTATTGAAAATGGCGGCAAACTTTAAGCATCTCACTTTTGGGATATTATTCGATGTGGCCGCTGCATAGCTCTCGTCAGTTTTTTTTTTTTTTTTCAGGTTGTCATATCATTTTAGGGAGACACAATGGAGGAGTAAACATATCATATAACATTTGTAATACATAACGTTACATGACATAATACACAACTTAACATTATATAACACCTAAGGTGACCTATCATATTGAGTGAAGCAGGAAGTTAGTATTCACTTTCATCTCAATTTCAGGATGAGTTACAAGGTATCAATGTGTAATTTAATAAAATTAAACCTGCAAATGAAAGGATGTAACATCTTCGGATCTCCTGATATTGTTTCATGATCGACAAACTTGTTGGGCGCTTCTGGGTACCAGATGCGCCCTTTCCAGCCGTTCGACTCCCTCGATGTAACATGTACTATACTACATACCGTTTTGCCTTATGGGTAATGACGCCATTCTGGTACACCCGGGAAAATTTGATTTTCTTCTGCATCTGGTATTCGTAAAAGTTTTCGTGAAATGTTTTGCTTTTAAGCATAACAATCTCGCACGGACGTATTACCTGGTTAAACTATTTTGGGGCTTTGTTATGCTTAAATGCCTCATATTCGAGGTTGTAGTTTCAGATTGATTCGAAAAAATCACGAGCAGTCACGTGATCTCTTCATTTTAGTGACGTATTACTGTGCTATTTTGTGATTGGTTCATTTTCTCGGCGCAGCATCGTCAAGCGTCAGCTGTTTGCGGCTCTGGGTTGAAGGTTTAAGGTTATGCCGGCCAGGTTGGCCTGGTGGTCAGCGCGTCTGACTCTAGGCCAATAGGTCCCGGGTTCGAATCCCGGTGGTGGCGACAAATTTTCATGGAACTGACGAGTGATCTGCAGAAACAGATTCCACTTGGCCTTAATCCCTGAAAATTTGGAAGCCTGGAGCATGGATGTGCTTAAATCCCATGATGTCTAAGGACAATAAATACTGTCTATCGATGGCTGTAGGTTCCAACGGAATATAAGCCACTAAACCAGCAAAAAAAAAAAAGGTTTAAGGTTATGTCAGAGAGAATAGAAAGTTAGAGGCCCGACTCGATGCTATGTAATTGAAACAGATGCGCTCGCAGCGCGCTCGCTGGCAACGTACGCAACTACTATTTTCTATTGTTTTCCAGAGACTAGCGGCGGGTATGTTGCTGCCGGACCACCTTCACGTAGGCAATTTGTTATACATCGTCCGTCCGCAATACTCTCGCTTGGCCGTATGAAAACGTTCCTCACATGCGCAGTGTTAAAGAAGCGCCCTCCATCGCTTTGGCGTTGGAACTGCTTGTTTAGTTTTCGCGGGACGGAGTGCTTAACTTTTAACTCGATTATGAGGATGCGCGTAACATCTCTAAAAATACTGGAAAATGCTGTATGTGATTTTGAAACTTTTTGAGAGTAGTAAACGTTCGAAATATAACAAAATGAAAATCATAAAAGCGTTCGTGCAAGATGAAACACTGATACTTTCATGCCTGGTAAACTTATAGTGCTTAAAATATCTTCCGGTACACAATGAAGAATATTGGGCTTCAGGAACCTTAAAGAAACCACAGGGGAGGAAATACTCACTTTTGGGATGGAATAAAACTTTTCCTTTTATAGAGGATTACAAGAGACCGCAAAGCGAAAAGAAACTTTTTTCAGCAACAACTTTAGGTTATAACAATTTTTAACTCCAAAACTCCTCCCACTTCAAGGCTCCATCAGCTGATGCCGATCGGGGCTTGGACATCCAGCCCGCCCTGAACCCCCTTAGGGGCTCAGACCAAGACAGACATCCACCCCCTACCAAGCACCATCCTGAAGAGCCCAGAAAGGGAGGATACCAGAACCGAACCAGGGGGAGCAACCTAACTTATGTCTAAGATGGCCCCTTCAGTCGGGCCACAGTCCATAAATGTCTAGGTAATGTCAATTAGATTGCTTCTATTCTCTCCGAGAGAGCCACGACAGACAACGCCTCCAAACTTTTATTTCTTACGGGTTCTTCACACAATGAACGGTTAATGCTGCTGTAAGGGACTGCTGATACTTGTTTTGATAGCCCTGCAATATTTCATTGAGGTAGCATGGCATATAGAAAATATGTCAACTGCCGCAGTAAAGGACAAAACTGAGGACAAACCATACCATTAAACCAGAACTTTTCATGGGCTGCATGTCATTACAAACATTTAAACTTAACTTTTGCAACACATTGACTGAAGAAAAGACATGGGCTTTGATCCGATTTTAAATGAGAGGTGAATTTTAGCATAACGCCGAACAAAATTAACTCGACAAAAAAAACCACAAAGCATCACTACGACTTGAACTTGCGAGACGTAACTTGTCTCTTTTTACGTTTCAAGCAATATTTACTAAGAGAAATGATGTGTTTACAAAACGACCTATGTTGATTGCTTTTACTGGTTTATATTTAAAAGTGTGCAGAATACGGGGCTAATACCGGAAGAGATCTGTATGAGGGGAAGTAAGGATGGAGATTTCTGAAGTTTGCGAAACCGGTGATAGGTCAAAATGTCCAAAAAAAAATGTCCAACAAGCAAGAATGTCCAGAGTTGAGAATGTCCCTATTTTACAAATGTCCAAGTATCTGAAATGTCCAATACCGGTTCTTTGGCCAAACACAAAAATGCCCAAAAGTCCATTTATTTTTGTTTCTAGATATTCTTCATTCTTGATCACGTTCCTCATTATTCTCGTCTTCGGGCTCGTTGGAAACTCGAATGTAATAGGCAATGCCCCTTAGGTACCGTGGAATGTCATCTTCATCTTTGAATTCTTGATAGCGTTGGACGCGCTGTAGGATTCTCTTCTGATTTATTTGAAATTTGTTGTTTGATCCGCGTATGACCCAAGTCGAGCTGTTGGCAGAGCTGTTCTGTATCCCTTTGATCTTTCTGCATATATTCTATAAATTTCCAAATATTAAGATGATGGGATTTCACCATTTTCTGATACTTGGAGTGGTACGACTCGACGACGTTGTTAGTCCGGTGTAGTTGGTTTAATACTAAGTCGTAAACACACCACGTTTTGGGAGGGAATCTTGGGGGAACTGCGGGACGCCGCCCCCTTGCAGGTCTACCCTTCACATAGGTTCTTTCAAGGTACTGTACGAAATCTTCCACTTCGTCAGGGGCATCATCCTTTAGCTCATTGAAAACGGTGAGAATTTCATCTAGAGGGACAAATGGTAGTGCCATGAATTGAAGGAGACTGTTTCTAATTTCAGGATTTTCCAGGTCCCTGTAATATTGCACTAATTCCAGCTTTTGAATGTTTTTGAACATAGACTGTTCAAAATGAAACAGGCAAGCATGTATTTGTGCTTGCGGATAAGCTTCTCGGCAAGCATTAATGTTAGCTATTTCAAAATCAGACATCAAATGTGGTGGATTTAGGTTAAGATTGTGACGCACTGCAAACGCCTTCAACTCTGTGTAAACATTGGAATACGTTTCTTCAGCCCTGTTGACCGTCAGTACATACACGAAGGGGAAGCAGAAACCCTTATAGATACCGTGGATCGTCATAAGTTGTAAAAACTGGTGCGGCACTATTTTGAAAGTTCCGTCGCTAAACATTATGATACTGGCTGCTAGCTTTTGCATGTTTGCGACCGTTGTGAAGATTAGAATTCTGTTAGGGTCATCTGCACCAGAATCATGCATTAAAAATCTCTGACCAGTTTTTGTCCGTCGATACCTCCGCGGGATTTCGATGTCATTGATTCTCTTTGGCAATGGAGGCCGGGTTTTATTTTGAACTCGATTGACTGTTCGACGGAGATCATTTCTCTCGGGCATCATTGCTAAAACCTCTTCATTGTCTATTGTAGCAACGTGATCCCTCACTATGTTACTTGCTCCTTCGTTTGGTGCATTTGTTGCATATTCTTTTAGTTGAGACAAGAACGTTCTCACAGCAACACTGGCAACGTCAGGCGCATGTGTATGCTTATGGCTCCCGCTGGTTTTTATTTGAATATTTTCCAAATTTCCTGTTGTCGAGCATCGAGCGTCACAGCTACCCCTGTTATGGCACCTCCAGTAAATTACAGTGTTCACTTTGTTTGCTGAGTGGCGTTGATACAGAAAGTCATCATGAATAAGAACAGGTTTATTTTTTTGGCTTTTCAATAGCCTTGGGTTCGCCATCACAAATATCACAATAAAATCACCAATTTTTTTAGTTTTCACCAATTAGTTTAGTTTAGAATCATAATAAAATCACAAATTGTAAAATTTTGCCCCTGTAATTGGTTTTACCGCATTTTTTAACAAACGAAAATTTTACAAAAGCCAAAAAGTTTCACAACTGAGGTTAGTTCAAGAAAAAAAGATTCTCAAATCTTCCCCATCGTCTCCTTGGATTCGAATTTAGGTTTCGTTGTCGCCACCTTCTAATTTTTTTGCAAAGGGAATGGACTTTTGGGCATTTTTGTCTTTGGCCAAAAAACCAGTATTGGACATTTAAGATACTTGGACATTTTTACAATATGGACATTCTCAACTTTGGAAATTCTTGCTTGTTGGACATTTTTTTTTTGGACATTTTGACCTATCACCGCGAAACCTGTTCAGAACGCATATATGACAGGGATCATGGCTTATTGGAGATAGTCTGTTTTAATTATAATCTTTCAAGTTCGTAGTCCAGATAAATGGGGGGAAACCGCTTCGTAAGTTGAAGCAAGAAACCAAACATCATCGCGAGTAGCAATGAAAGATTCTCTCTCAGCCTTCAGCTCAATTTTAATTTTTCAATTATTATTTTAATTTTAGTGTATTTTCCGAAGGAAATACACTATTGCATTCTCCCCTGATGTCAGACCTGGACCAAAGACCATGTAATGAGCATCGATCATGGGTCGTAGATTACGAATATGCATGCCGTTTGAATTCATGTTTATATATATGGCGGAGGTATAATAAATGAAACAAATATAAAACCATTATTAAAACTTACCATTTGATTGCTGAGATGACATTCCTGCAGGCTTTTCTTGATGGGCTGAAGGAACGACTGGAACTCTCACACTTGGCTCTTGATGGGCTGAAGGAACGACTAGAACTTTCACACTTGGCTCTTCACGAGTTAATTTTTTTTTTTAGAGTATGGATGGACTCGATTTGGACTCATGCTAACTGATGTGCAAATTGCCTACTCTGCACTGATCGGAGGGTACACTGTTTTATACGGCTTACTGTTGAGCCTTCACCCGCAATCCACAGATTGGGCGATCGAGCGTATTCAGCACGCGTGCACTCCCGAACATCGAACAAAAAATCGCTCACAAATCAAATTCCGATCAAAGTGGACTATTTAACGACTGTCGGTCACCAAGTAACATTATTCCTTGGAGTGCCACTATCCATAATATCTAGCCGCATGGAACATTTCTGCTAAGCTTCCATACTTCAAAATAATGCCAAGTAACGGACACCGGAAAAAATTCACATTGGATGTAGAGTCTAGACTCTTAAAAACATCGACAAGAAAAATTACTCTTGATTCAATCAGAATCTAGCTTAAATCATGAACCAAGCCGCTTAATTTAAGCGGATTTTGTTTTGATTCAAGCGAAAATCCGATTGAATCAAGAATATTTTTTCTTGTCAATGTTTTCAAGAGTCTGGACTCTAGATACAATGTGTTCTTTTTTTCCAGTGCAGCAGTTACTTCCGCAATGTGAGGATGTGAAACTAACAATTGTGGCGGTTAATTCAGCGTCTTGTGAGCTGTCGCACACGTTTTTACATCCAGAATCTGGGTGTCTACAGGTCTGGAAGTATACTGATTTTTTAAGGGCAGTCCGGAAGTACTGATAAAGTGCGGAAATTCTGCAAGAAGGTCCGTAATTTTATTAATTTTTGTCGCAATTTGAGCGAGAAATTCAAATTTTTGACATTTTTCGAAATTCGTCCAATAGAGGAACTGAAAAAGTCCTGAATTTTTCTGCTGAGAAGGTACTAGTTCTTGAAAAAGTACAGTAAAAGTGATGATTTTTGGTCGGCTTGTTTTTGTAGACACCCTGCCAGAATGTTAAGTCAGCATCCTTTTTTTTTCGGTGTGCTTAACGCGGTACAGTTGAATTTGCAACGTTTTTCAAAATTTACATTGGAAAAAAAACACATTCGATCTAGAGTCCAGACTCTTTAAAAACATCGACAAGAAAAAATACTCTTGATTCAATCAGATTTAAATCAAGAACCAAGCCTCTTAATTTGAGTGGATTTCTTTTTGATTTAAGCTTAAATCCGATCGAATCAAGAGTCCTTTTTCTTGTCAATGTTTTCAAGAGTCTAGACTCCAGATCCAATGTGTTTTTTTTTTTTTTCCAGTGTAAACTTCACCATGGGAAATTCGGCAGCATTTGAATGTAGATACAGCGTTCTTCCTCACCTCAGATCCGCTGATTAATCGTCTTATCCACAATGGTATTATCGTCTCGGCTCGAGTGTCAATCTTGGAACTTTTCTCCACCACCAACTCCAGACTCGGAGCGATAAAATATCCAACGGAGCTCGGGCGGCTCGTGAAGTTCAAACATTAAACTATTATCGAGCAGGCACGACTAACTTTTCACCGCGCGGAAAAAAGCGCGAAACTTCCGAACGCGCTGTCATTTATAAGCCGTCGCTTTTTTCACCGATAGTTCTGCAAGTCTGAATGTCGGGGGTGTGCTTTATCACGCTCCGTTTTTTCCCCCTCCTATTTTTTTCTTTTTTTAATATCGGGTTCGGGAGCGGAACAAAAAACCCTGCGGTTTTGACCGCCGGCCTCGGGTGAAATTTGAAGCGACGCGGCGATTTTCCGCTGATGCTTCACGCACCTCGTTGCCGTTCGATGAGTGGATTACATTTTGCAATTTGGAACTATAATTCCCGGCTCATCGGTATAAACACGTATGTGCATCGGGAAACCAATAGTACGCTTGCTGTTTCTGAAGTGAACCAGAAATTGTAGTTTCGAATCGCGCATGTTTCACGCACCTCTTTGCTGTTCGATGACTGGAGTACATTTTGCAATTTGGAACGATAAACCTGGCTGATCCGTGTAAACACGTATGTGCAGAGGGAAACCAATCGTACGTCTGCCGTTCCTTAAGTGAACCAGAAATAGTAGTTTCGAATTGCTCATGTTTCACGCACCTCTTTGCCGTTCGTTAAATTGATTATATTTTTTATACTTTGATACTATCATAAGTGTAAGGTTCCTGCCCGGTTTGAAAGTTGTATCGCATGGGTAATGACGTTCAAATTCGTTGCCAATAGTTGAGGCACCTTCTCTTTTTGTTTGAGATGAGACAAGCCAAAAATAGCACACTTCTTTTCATTTATTCGTTAATCGACACGTAATATCCACCCAGAGAAATTTATCAGTCCGTGGATCGAAAATCATCGATAACCTAGTTAAGGAATACAACACTCATGTTTTCAATTTGTTTAATTTTTGTTCCGCAATGTTGAAAATTGTTATGATTTTGCGACAATTTTTCTGTGAAGCAAATTTCGATAAACTCGTGGAGATTTATTTTCTCTCGAGTAAAACTTGGCAACTTCATCGTGCTCTTACGGCGTTTTTCAACACGGATTGAGAGGAATTCTACGGCCGGTTTGAGCGCCGGATGACGGAAATGTGAGCCGCGAAAAACCGACAAAAATCACTCGCGTGATAAATTTGCACCGCAGGGCTGAGGGGAGAGGGAGGGGGATCAGCTTCGAACAATGTGTGGTCGTGTTTCTGGGCAAGTATTCGGAAACTGTGAGATTCAGCTGCGGTGCTGCCGGACGAATGACCCCTGAAAAATATAATGAAATAAAAAAACATAACATGTTGCGGTGTGTCCTGTGTCCCTACCGCATGGGGATCGTTGAATATTCCATCGAATCCTTCCAGCATAAAATCAAAATATCCTAGAGGGATCCATATTATAACTATGGACGTTATAACTCCTGAGCATATTTCATTTGGATAAGTCTGACGAAAGGATTGCACTGTGATTAAATCACCTCCCCATTCCCCCCCCCCCTCCATTTTCCTTTTTTCAAGAAATGGGAGAGGAGGAATGGGTAATAGGTCAAAATGTCCAAACCTTGAATGCCCAAAAATTTAAAAAGGCCAAATGTCAGTAGTATGCCCAGCAGACAAATAAGTCCAAAAGTAGGCAAATGTCCAAATAAATGAGAAGCGTAATTATATACTAACTGCTTTCATGGCTGCTTTTTTTGGCTTTTAATGACAAACGGGTAATATTAGCCATGTTTGTTACGTTTGTCAATATCACTTAAAATTTGGCAAATAAATCACTAATGCATTTTGAAAAGTAAGAATTTGCTAGCTCTCATGAAAAATTGTATCACCATTTTTTCCTAACCTGCATCTCTCCTTTATCCGACGCATCTGTTTCTATGGCTGCATTCAATAACAGCTTTAATAAAGGTGCCGATGGGGGCTGTACTTTTGGACTTATTTTTCTGCTGGACATTACTGATATTTGGCCTTTTTAGATTTTTGGGCATTCAGGGTTTGGACACTTTGACTTTTGGACATTTTGACCCATCAACGAGGAATGTGACTCATATTTTTTTCTACATACGTTCAAGCCGCTTTTACAGCGCACCCGGGCGCTCTGCAACGCCTAATCAGCATTCTTGTCGATCGATCGAGTGGTCATCTGGTAAATGGCAGCTTGTAATTTCATCTTGGATGCCTCCTATTCACAATTTTGCTGGACGTCCCCTGCGTCTCTTCCCAGGAGGAACCCAATCTTGTACCTTCATAGGCAATCTGTCATACGCCATTCGTTGACCATGACCATACTAGACAAGCTGTTTGGTCATAAGTTCATGCACGATGTTCTGCTCGGGTTCATGATCTCACGCACTCTTTCGTTCCTTATGCGTGATCCCCCGTATTCCTTAAGGCACAGGGCAATGCGTCGTAAAGACGTCTGTACAATCTTCTATATGTACTTACGGTAGTATACTTACATATCGACGGTGTAAGTCGTTATTAAATATGGATGCTAGTACTGAGTGAGTTTTTGATTAACCGCTCTCTTTTTGTGTCGTAGTTGATTTTTTGCGGGGAAAGATCTGTACTCTTGAAAGGTGCCTGTCATTCTTCATGTGTTGGAGTGCCTTCAATTTCGTATGATACTGTGCGACACCTCTGTTGTGAAATAGTTGCTTGAAGCGCCGTGGCACGGCGTGGCGTGCTGCCAGCGAGGAAAGCGCTTTGGCGCCTACAAACCTAAGGGGATACTTCAAGCATTGCGCAATGCGTGAAGTTTCCCTTTAGGTTTGTAGGCGCCAAAGCGCGTTTAGCGCCGGTAGCACGCCGCTCTGCTCTGTTAGGCTCTAATATCTAAACTCGTTGAGTCGGCGTTTTTCAACTCTTGATTTTGAAATGTTTGTATCGTCAGCATGGATTATTCTCAGTTAAATTGATGGGGAAAAAAATCATGTGCATCAACGGTGTAAGTCGGCAATTACATAACTCGGTTTGCGACGTCGTAGACTTCCTGTCATACTTTATTTTTTTGAGACTACTACCTAGGATATTACTAGTCTTCTTCAAAGATTAACGAGTTCACCCGCATTCTAGTAAAAATCAGCTCACCGCAAACCGCATTTTTAGTTCTCTCAATTTGGCTCAATGTATAACCTCACTGTCGCTGCACATGGCTGTGAGCAGCTTGTGAGAATTTTTTTGTCATTGTGGGTGCTTTTAGCTCTCTCACCCTCTACTTTCTCACCTGCTTACGCACACTGAGAAAAAACTATGGCTTATAAACCTATTAGAGGTAAATATGGAACACCACTAATAGTAGTACCTCTACATATAATAATAGCACATATACCTTAGTTATGGTCTCTGTACCTTAATTAGGTACAGAGACCTTAGTATGGTTCACAGACCGAGAATCATTAGTTTATTTACGACTATTATAGGTGTTCCATATTTACCTCTAATAGGTTTATAAACCATAGTTTTTTCTCAGTGCAGCGCTAGGATAATTTTCATCATTCATTGCAGTGAGGTCAGTTATTTTATGCTCCGTTCTCGCCTCGCCTCCTCTCCGAACGTTCCTCTCCGAACCTAAATATCTCCGCATATCATCGTAACTTACCAGTTATCATTTTGTACACTGAGAAAAAGCTATGGTTTATAAACCTATTAGTGGTAAATATGGAACACCTATAATAGTCGTAAATAAACTAATGATTCTCGGTCTGTGAACCATACTAAGGTCTCTGTACCTAATTAAGGTACAGAGACCATAACTAAGGTATATGTGCTATTATTATATGTAGAGGTAATACTATTAGTGGTGTTCCATATTTACCTCTAATAGGTTTATAAGCCATAGTTTTTTCTCAGTGTAGTGAGTGCTATCATTAGTATACTTGCTTATCCTGTGTGCTTGTTTTGCATTTTGGGTGTGCTTAAGCTTAGTATTTTCAACTTGGGCATCCCTTATCAGTGCACATAGTATTTCATTGTTTTTCTCTGCATGGATAAACATTCCATAGAGTTACACCGCACGCATTAGTTCCTCAGCTCGCCGCAGTGTTTTTGAAGTGCGCCACTGTCTCTTGTTTGGTTTTTTATGCACTTTTTCCTCAAGCTATCAGTATTTTAGCAATCTTAGTGTACATTTTCTTCGCTCAAGCGCTCCGTTATCTCAATTTCATTTGGTTTGTCGCACCTGATCAGAACCATGGCAACGTTAGATTCGGAGCTAGAACAAAGGTTGCAAGCAAATATTGCTGAAGGGCAATGTGTTTTACGCACGCTAACTTCTTTGCATGAGGAGGCACTTGCGCTCTCTATAAAAACTGTCCAAGGTTTCCAGGGACAGATTAATAGGTTAGCAGCCATAGAAGCTGAGGCTACTATTGTCAGAAAGCAAGCAGTAGCAGTTAATGTGGCTATTCCTGATGAGTGCAAATCAAAGCGCATTAATATTACTAAATTTACTGATGATGTTGCCGTAAGTAATATTAATCCGGGCGCCAGAGAATCATCTGGAACTTGGCGTCGCTCGGATGAATGTTGATGTATAAGTACATCTGCTGAATGTCTGCGGTCAGGGTGATTGAATGCTTGCGGAAGTTGATGATCAAGTCGCGTATGTCCGTCTGTAATTTGGGACCAGGAAGCAGGACTTGATTCAACGAGACCTTGGTGGAGGTCGGTGCGGAGGCGTCAAAAACGACGCGTAGCTTGGTCGTGCTGCTAGACTCCTTCACAACTGCGTGATGCGGAATGAAGTAGTGCGGTGCGGTTGCGGGCGGTATGGCGGCAGGAGACATGAATCCGTTGTTCTCGTACTCTTGCATAAACTTCTTGTAGGCCGCGTGAAACTCCGGCTCCTTCTCGAAGCGGCGTTCCAGGGCTCGAAAACGAACTTCAGCTCGTGCGAGTGACGTTCCCAGCGGCGGGTGTTCTGGCTTGAATGGAAGTCGGACGCAGTATCGTCCGTCTGTTCCTTGTGTTGTCGTAGCGGTGTAGAAGTTTTCCACGTATTCGTCGGTCGGGTCCTGCCTTGCTGCGGGAGCGACGTCTTCAATGGCGCAAAAATCTTCAAACAGCTTCGAGAGATTCGGCGGTTCCCGAGTGAGCAGCACCTTGCGACTCACGGCGGTATCCTCCGAAGCGGTGCGGCGGGGTGCGGGTCCAAGGACGACGTAACCAAAGAGAGTACCCCAAGCGACGGGGGCCGGGGAACCCAGCTTGATGGAGTCGCCAGTCAGCGCCAGTGGCAGGAGATCAGCTCCTATCAGCATGTCCACGGGACCAGGCCAGTCAAAATCCGGGTCGGCGAGCGGCAAGCTACGGCAACGAGCACGGATGGTCCTGGAGAGCGCGACTGAGGGGGTGTGACCAGTAATCTTTGTCGACACGAGCATCCTGTGGTCGCAGGCGACGAGTTGCTTGTCCAGAGTGCTGACGTCCACTTCCACGGAACCCCTGACCTGAATGCCGGTGTCGTCCAATCCGGCAACAGGGGCGGCATGGCGAGCGAGCTTGAGATGGAGCAGCTGAGCGCAACGAGTAGTGACGATGGACACATCTGCGCAAGAGTCCAACAGCGCCCTGGCAATGATGACGTGTCCGTTAGCGGATAGGAGTACTCGGGCGGTCGGTAGAACTACCGTCTGCTCTGGAATTCGTGCGATGAAAACCTTCTTGGTGTCCTTGGTCTGGTCAGCCTGTCCTTGGGGGTCCTGCTTCTGGCATAAGATGGTGTGGTGCCGTTTTCCGCAACGGAAACAGTTGTGGCGCGATTCACATTTTCCAACGTCGTGATTTCCGAGGCAGTTGAAACATAGTTGATTCTTGCGTGCTGCGTTCATCCGTTCTGAAGGCGACATGTTCAATATTTGAGGGCAGCGGAACGCTTGATGACCTCGTTCGCACCATCCACAGAGATGTTTTCCAGCGTAGGAGTCCGTAGTGGTCGATGCGTGGTGCGCTGAGATGTGCGGGGCCGACGAAGGCGAAGCAGCAGGAGAAGTACTTACAAGGGAAGAATCAAAAGCATGCGATTGCCGAGCAGAATTAGTACCACTACCATGCGAACGCTTACGTTGTTTACCATTAGCAGGAGACTGGGTTTGGTCGTTTTTAGCTAACAAAACCTTGGGGGACTTCTGAGAGCCGCTTTGACTAGACTGAGGCTTATGACTTACAGGGTTGTCTAGAGCTTGAGAGCACTCATCTTTCAAAAAGTCAATGAACTCCTCTAACGTTGGATACGCGCGAGGATCCGTACGGGATTCATCTAATTTGCGCTGCCAGAAGGGCGATAATTTTCGCGTGAGTACAGTAACTAACAAAGGACCATACGTTGCGTCCTCAATTTTTAACGAGGTGAGCGCGTTTTTATGCTCCTGCACTTTTGTGAGTAATTGCGGTATCTGAGCGCTATTCTTTATCTCCGGTAAGTCTAGTATTCCACCGAAATGATGATAGATATGTCGTTTTTCCGACTTATAGCGGCTCTCCAAAAGGTCCCAAGCAACACCATAATTTTCAGCAGTAGGATCAAGCGTTTTTACAAGCGAGAGTGCTTCACCAGATAAAGAGGAAAGCAAATAAGTGAACTTTTCAATTGGGGTTAGAGAAGCATTTTCATGAACTGACACTTTAAACATACTATAAAAAGATGACCATTCAGTGAGAGTACCTGAAAACTTGGGCAGATATAAGACTACTCAAATGCAATTTTGTAAAACTGCCGTGATTTTTCTTCTCTACGTGAAGAAAATTCTGCAAAAACTTCAAGGAACGACGTCAATTTGCTCTCGAAAAAAATAACATAGAGGCGGAGATTTTTAGACACCACAAAACGAGATATGGGATTGCCGACTTACGCCGTCGATATGCTATGTGTGGAGATAGTGTTGATTCGCGGATCCTAAGTCGATGACCCATCTAAACGTGAAATGTTCGCTCTAAGGGATGGGTGGAGCGGCGGGGGTGTTTCGGGGAAGGCACGAACCGCTGATTTGACATTTTCCGGCTGTTGGCAGGCAACAAAGTAGCCTGTTGCCAGGGGCGCGACCCGGCAAGGGTGGATTTTATATCCTCGGGCAGCGGAGCTCTCTCGACCGCGGGCGCATTGCGAATGGCTCGTAAATTCATCACCCGCGGAGTCACGCGTCTGACGTGGTGCAGGTAACAACGCAAATACGTCGTTAATCCTCTAACAGCCGTAATACGGACGCAACATTTTGCTGAACTCGCAGTCACGAGAAATACTAGTGACTCAGAAAATGTAGCCCTCCCCAGGGCTGCCGATTCGCGTCCGATGCTTGTTCAGCCCCCCTCGGCACCTTTAATTTAATTGTACGACACACGGAACCAAAGGTTGGATAAACTTTTAGGTACTAAGCGCCCTAATCTCAGTGTTTTATGTGTTGCATAGCTCCTTCCTTGCTCTGGAAAAAAAAAAAACATATTGGGGCGAGGGCGAATCATTTCGTTGACGCTATTAATTATTCGACGATGATCAAGGAAGAAGGGGGAGCAGTACACAGAAGAAAAGCATTAAGTGTTCGAAAGTCTATCGATATATTATTGTATAGGTCCAATTTCATTAAGGCTTTTTAATTTTGACGGTAAGCAACGAAGGAGAAAGGAACCTTACCTAACCTAATCAAGAGTTAACCTAACCTGCACACACACGCAGTTGACTTTTTAAAAATATGGCACGAAGCGTTTGACAGTGAATAAAAATTGCTGGACGTTACTCATCCCGGAAGGGAGCCGCCTTGGCGCGACCCCTGCTCGGAGAGGTCCGGAGGAGGCTCCTCACTTGGCGGCCGGAGGTGGACACGGCCCTTGAGAGCCTCGTTGATCCTAGAGCGGAGGCTCTTCGTGCTTCGCCCGGCTAGGATTGGCTCCCTCCTCTTCGCGTCGGCGCACTCAGTACAGGGTAAGAATGGTAAAGCAAAAAACAGTTTCATCAACCTCCCGGTCTCAGGAGTCTTTGTTATTAAACTCCTTGGACAGCCCCCATGATGCAATATTTTTGAACCAGTTTTGCCCTATGTGGAAAGAGCAGCACTTTATAACACTATCGGGGATAATACATTTAGCAGCATTTATTGCGGCAATCTCGAAATCAAGAAGTAAAATTTTCGGAGAAAAGTGCCCGTCACATAAGTCGTGGCAGAGTTCCTGAATCGCAGACCGAAATTTTTCGTAACTTGCTCCCGATCTATCAGGTAAAAAACCGAACGCTACTTGATGATACATTCCATTTTTATAGACATGAAGGGTGTGAAGTTGATAAAAATGAGTTGGACTCACGTGAAAAGTGCCATCCGCTAAAGTTACGTCACTATTTTCAAGAAGGAACTGCAAGTTTGTTTTACACATCACTATCACCATTCTATTTTTCACGAAAGAAAAAGTCTGGTCAGCAACGCCTGCGCTGTTGCCACATGAATACAAGTAACAGAAATGCACCGTCTTTTACATTCGCGCAATCCTTGACTGTAGGCCTCCTTGTCAGTCGCGCATTCCTACCCCGAAAAAAAATCACCTGATCCCCTCCATTCGCGCAATCCTATCGTAGCCACTCGGAGAAGGTCGGTAGTTTGTCGGCTCGAAGGTGGAGTCCGAATGCCCGACGTATCGCCACGTTTTCCTGGTCGGTCCAGCGGCGGAAAGATGATGCGGCTGACGGCTGCACCGAGGACGGCGCCGGACATGGCTTCTGCGGCGTCTCGCGACTTGTGGACGCGCCGGGCTCGCGAGGAATCTTCCTTGGCTGCCACTGCGCAGTGGCGTGGCGTTATAACGTGCTCAGCTCTCGAGCCAAGCAGCTGAACACGTTGGGGGATGATCGCAGATAAGGGGGCGTAAATCCACCAGATAGGGTAGTCCTAGAGAAAGGGGAAATGGTCTAGGGAGGGTGTAAGAGCCCTATCACTCTAAATAGATGGTCACCTACCTCGAGAGTGGTATCCTAAGGAAAGAATAAGACTCACAATCTAGGGGTGGCCGCTCGTGTATTGGGCACTCGTATGGTAACAACGATAATGATGGTATATAACGATAAAACTACAACTAGGTCACACAGACCTCACACAACTATCACACAGATACAACTACTACAAAGGGGGGGAGGGTCTCCAAGCAGGAAGAGCCGTCGGGGATGCTGGACGGGACTTTCGGCGAGGGGAGGGATACTCAAAGCTCAATCACCGGGGTGAGACGCGGGACGGGGCAACTTGAGGAGTCAAAGACTCGGGGAGGGGTGGAAGGCCGCTGGGGCGAAAGAAGGGTCGGGGACGGACCGTAGGACCACGACTTTCGACCGAGGGATACTCGAGGACTTGACTACGGGGTGAGACGCGCGTCAGGGATCCGCGAGGAGGCGTAGGCGCGGTTGGCGAGACGACTGACTTCAGGGGATTTCAGAGAGCTCCTCGTGGGCCTCTAGGCCTGCTTAACTTAGCGTCGTTTCCCACGGTTAGCTCGCCAAAATCCCCTGACCAAGCATGTCATATCCGTCAGGACTCCGAAATCCCCGGGAAGCAACTGGTTAGGTTGCCACCCCGTGGACTCCGGTCGCCCGGCGCCCGAGGCAGAGGTGTATGAAATAGTAAGGTTTCTCGGACTATATGGCAGCGGCCTGTCTAGTGATGTCACCGGGCGATGTCACTACCGGACGCGACAAGCTGTGTCATGAAAACCTCGCGGATCCACCGATCTCGCAACGCAATATTAGCCCGCTGCTTCCAAAACCGCCGTAACTCCAATATTCCGTTATAGGCGTGAATGATCGATTATCGATATCTCGCCATTTGAAGCTATGGTGAAGAATCGATTACTAAGGTGTTTGCTGCGAACACCCTAATGATCGATCTTTTTCATAGGTTTGAGTGGCGTATCGATCGATATATCGCAAAGCACGCCACGCCACTGGCCACACGGACGTATCATACAAGGCACGCCCTTATTTGTATCACTTTTCTTAAATTACATTTTTGTAGCGTAGAGATTCCACCGACGAAGACCAACCAGCTCGTCGAAGCTGATTATATTGCGTTACGCATTAGACCAGTGGCTGATCCGAAATCTCTCATCAGCTTTCAGGTTTTAACTCTCCGCTGCAATCTGATATATTCATCGTTATGTCTTGTGCTGCCAAATTTCTAGCGCCGTCCTTTTCGCCCTAAGGGAAGTCATACATTGTATCCTCGGTAATGGTCAATGAACCATCTTCACTACTACCTTTTCTTAGGTTCTCTCAGGTTCTATACTGGATCTTTTTCAATTTTTGTTTTTTCGTGTTCTATCTCTTACATCTTCCCGAACACTTAAACGCAGAGTTTTTTGTGTATCTTGAAAATTCGATTTCTGACAAATTTTCTGATAACCAACAAAGAAATTAAAAAAATTGACGTTTAAGGAGACCTGCAGATTTTAAGAAAGGAAATGCTATCTCCCCGAACACTTAAACGCAGAGTCTCATTGTTTATCTTGAAAATTCGATCTCTGACAAATTTTCTGATAACCAACAAAAAAATTCAAAAACTTGACATTCAAAGAGAGATGAAAATTTTCAGAAAGGAAATGCTCAAATTTTTTCGAAGATCAGTATCCGACTCCCCTTAATGCTTCTTTTTGTGCTCATTTTCGCAAAAGTTCCCACCTCCCACCATCCCAAAAGCGCGAACTGCTAATTTTTGCACTTGGGGGTATGCGCTTTTGGGGTATGCGCTTTTTTGGGGTATGCGCTTTTTTGGGGTATGCGCTTTTTTTGGGGTATGCGCTTTTGGGGTATGCGCTTTATTTTGGGTATGCGCTTTTTGACATTAACCGAACAAACCCACGAGAGGATGTGATTTCGTCGAATCCTGCATTCAAGCGTTCGGAGCCGAAGTTTGTGAATCGATCCAGCTAACGCGATCGGAGCGAGGATTAAGGGAACGGGCGATGAACGGAGAATCGAAGGTGTTTACGTTTAATTTCATTGCCCGCGTAATTGAGTTTTATTTCAATATCCAATAATAAACTAACCTGATTAAAAGAAGTGAGCGATTTGCATAGAGCAGCGAAACCGTATTAAAAACCAATTTGCCGACCGCATTGTTCACTTTTAATGACGTGCATTTCGCATTTTCGAACGGATTTACTTTTTCCCGTTCGCGGAAACGTAATCCCGTCCGACCGTGGCAGTTTTTACTGGGGACTAAATTGAAGCCCGCTCAGAGGAGCGCGCGGTAGTTTTAAAATTGAAACGTTAACAAGGTAGGCCTACTACCGGCTTTCAAGAATTAATTGTAAATTTGCCGCGCGTTTAAATGAGATGTAAACAAATGATTTGCATCAAGAAAAATTAGTGCTCAAAATATATTTCATTCAGTTTGATCATACGAAACTCTTCAGGCAGTTGTTTATAATTTCGTTCCTATGCAATTACTACATTTTGCCTGTAATAGGTTTTCATTTCAGGAATTTCGACGTTTAAATGGATTTCTTGTATGCGTGAGGGATTTGAGTTTTGAATATGCTTGCTCCTTCGTAAAATTTCTCGAGAAACACTATGGTGCCAATGGTTTCCTCTGAAATGAACTCTAAAGCTCTATAAAAGCTTTCAAAATTGAGACCGTAATTGAGGAGATATCTCACGCTACTC